ATCACTGGTGTCAGGGCCAGGGTGTGTCCTGGCTCAGCCGCAATATCCACTGATCGCCCAGTTTGTAAGGAGTGTGTGGGTTCAACACATGAAAAACATGTCCAGTTTTTCCAATTCTTTAGAACCAGTTTAACTCTGGTGTTTTATCAAATCAAACTTGAATTGTAGCAAAGTCCATACCCTATCCTTCCATCTTTACTTTTATTCTGAACTAAGTAAGTAATGTTTATCTATATAGCGCATTTCTCAGACCAGAGTTAAAAAACGCTTTACAATTGTTATTTTTGGGCAACTAAATTGTAGTGATCTGGGAAGTTGTCAAAACAGTTTAAAAACCTGGCCCTGTCTGGTCTGGTCTGGTCTGCTCTGGTCCGGTCTGGTATGGTCCAGTCTGCTCTGGTCCAGTCTGCTCTGGTCCGGTCTGCTATGGTCCGGTCTGCCACAGCTCTGCTCTCCATATTGCCTTTCGAGGTCGAGTCCAGTGACGAAAGCGAACAAACAATAAGCAATAATTACTCAATATTAAAATCCAACTTTTAAATCGTAAATTTTTCGACAGTTGAACCAGACAAACACAATATTTACGAATACACAAAACGCAACTATTTTGGCACAAATGCAAAAGGCAGAACTTAAAAAACATACAATTAAAAAAAGACGATAAATAAATAAATAAATACAAAAATCACACATTTAGATCCACAAAAAGGCGATAGATTGCTTTGATACTTGTTTGTACAGCACTTTACGCTAACGATACAGGCACAAAATCAAGAAGAAGGTCGGACAGACGTATGAGTCGGACTGAAGACGTGAGTTTCAATATTTTTTCAGTGCATTGTTGAAGCGGAGGAAGACGAGATGCTTGTGCTGAGGCTGGAGAAAAGAAAATCTGTGAAAGTGCTACAGACAAAACCAGGACGAGTATTTTTACTACAGCACTTTGAGGAGCTACAGACGCCCACACCATCAAAAGGAAGAGGACACACTGTTGATTCAGCTGTGTATAGAGCATAGGCGTTTGGAAGTTGCTGCAGACTCGTGTTGTTTGACCCGTGTCGACCCGGGACAGTGGGGAAGTTCTGGAGTATCGTTGGGCCTTAGGTCTGATATATAAATATAAAATGGTCAAAACAGAGAGAGAGCGAACAGAGAGACCAGAGAGAGACTAGAAAGAGAGACAGAGAGAGAGTGACCAGCGAGAGAGCAGAGAGAGAGAGAGAGCGAGAGAGACCAGTGAGAGACCTGAAAGAGAGACTAGAGAGACCAGAGAGAGACTAGAAAGAGAGACAGAGAGAGAGAGACCAGCGAGAGAGCAGAGAGAGAGAGAGAGAGCGAGAGAGCAGAGAGAGACCAGTGAGAGACCAGAAAGAAAGACCAGAGAGACCAGAGAGGGAGACTAGAGAGAGAAGAGAGAGATGAGAGAAAGAGACCAGAAACCAGAATCAGAGACCAGAGAGACCAGATTGAGAGAGACCAGAATAATAGACCAGAGAGGGAGACCAGGTGGGTTAAATGCCTGGTTGTTTTGACACACCAGCCCGTGTAGCTCAGTGCTCCAGACTAGACCAAACCACTACCTGTGGATGAAACCAGGTGGAGCGCTCTCGACCTTTGATGGTTGTGGGCCTCCGTACATGAACCAGCACAGTTCAGACCAGAGAGAACACACAGACCAGGTGACCACTTTACCACTTTTACGACTTCCTCTGAGCGCGAGACTGTAATCCGCAGACCCGGCTTGTATAAAGCCTGCCCCGGGGACAAACTATCAAATGTGTTTCGACAAGTCAAGACTCTCCCTTTAGACTTCCTGCATGGGTATTTTAATATGGTCCTAGTGAAAACTGGACCTCTCTTTAAGTCCGATTTAATTATATTGAACAAGACGCATGTAACTGTGTGGTGTGAAAAAACAGTCGGCTTGTTAAAACTGGATCAAACCATTTCTACTCCTCTCTACTGCTGCATGTAACTAAGTATACAGGATTCTATTGAGACAAGGACAGCATGTGCATTTAAGAGCGCAGGAGAAAGCCACGCTGATGTTAAAAATATATGTATTTGAATTCCGTTGGGACGTGTTTCATTGTTTTATGAGTGGAATCCGGCATTTTTGCTAAAACCTGAACATAACATATTTTCTTTTTATAGGACCAATGTTTATTGTGAGTTGTCCCTCAAATTAATCAAATTATTGAATTAATTGTTGACGAGAGGGACCAGAGAAAGGCCGGAGAGAGAGATCAGAGAGAGAGATCAGAGAGAGAGACCAGAGAGAGACCAGACAGCAACCAGAGAGAGACAAGAGAGAGACCAAAAAGAGAGACCAGAGAGAGACCAGAGAGAGACCAAAGAGAGAGAGACCAGAGAGAGACCAAAGAGAGAGACCAGAGAGAGAGACCAAAGAGAGAGAGACCAGAGAGAGACCAAAGAGAGAGACCAGAGAGAGAGACCAAAGAGAGACCAGACAGCAACCAGAGAGAGACAAGAGAGAGACCAAAAAGAGAGACCAGAGAGAGACAAGAGAGAGACCAAAGAGAGAGACCAGAAAGAGAGACCAAAGAGAGACCAGACAGCAACCAGAGAGAGACAAGAGAGAGACCAAAAAGAGAGACCAGAGAGAGACAAGAGAGAGACCAAAAAGAGAGACCAGAGAGAGACCAGAGAGAGACCAAAGAGAGAGAGACCAAAGAGAGAGAGACCAGAGAGAGACCAAAGAGAGAGACCAGAGAGAGAGACCAAAGAGAGACCAGACAGCAACCAGAGAGAGACAAGAGAGAGACCAAAAAGAGAGACCAGAGAGAGATCAAAGAGAGAGAGTCCCGAGAGAGACCAAAGAGAGAGAGCAGAGAGAGACCAAAGAGAGAGACCAAAGAGAGAGACCAAAGAGAGAGACCAGAGAGAGACCAAAGAGAGAGACCAGAGAGAGACCAAAAAGAGAGACCAGAGAGAGACCAGAGAGAGAGACCAGAATTAAAGAGCACAGAGAAAAACATGTTTGTACTATTTTTGGATGCATATAATAGCTTACTGGATCATACTGACAAATACTTGTTTTAAAAAGACAAAATTACTTCTTATTAATCTTGTTACTTGTGATGAAAGAAATGATTGTGTTTGCGGTGAGATAGACACAGGTCGGTAAAGTGTGTAAAATGCTCGTCTGGTCTGTGGGACGGGGTTCAGACAAGAAGAAAACATTGTTATTGTGGGAAAACTAGCCCAACAAAATCTGCAGTGGAGTTTGATCGGACAATATCATCTGTTTAGCAGCAATCCAGTGATAAACAAGGTGAGTGTGGTCACAAGCAGGCCATTCTGATCCTAATATTTGATTTAAAGAAGATACAATAAGAAAACTTCCTTAATCTCAAAATTACACAGTGCAATATTTCCAAACATCCAAATTGCTATCATTTCTTGCTACAGCATAATAATAGCAAGTTAAAACCATATCTTAGCGACTAAAATCTGCTACTACCTCTTCATTTGACAGGTTCAATGGAAAGCCGTACATTCAGGTCATTTCTTTGACAATTTCTCTCTGTATAAAAGCGACTTAAGCCTCTTATTGCATCAGACATCTTTTGCCTGTGACCAAACTCAAGTTAAAAACCATTTACTCTTGGGACTGAACGACATAGAGCTGGCTTCATATGTTACAGTACTGGAAAAGACGTGAGTGCAACTTCATGCAAATTATGTCAAAATTAAGACAAAAACGCTACTCTACATACGCTAGTTTTACAAAATCAACAATATCCGGAGACTCGCTCCAGCTCCTAGTGCTATGTGTTTACAGTGGTATGTACAGGCTGGCGGCGACACTGCTAGTAAAGACAAACAGAGGTAAAACACTTGGATTCTATAGTTAAGCTTTGACTGGAGACGTTTTGGTGATTTCTTTTGGACAGAAATTTGGATACAGCTCCTCATGTGTAGACTGGGACCCGTCTGAACCGTAGGGGTCAGACCAGTTTTGGAGCAACACATAATAGAGTCTGGACTTGACAGGACCTCATTGTACAAAATATAATGTATGGGATATCTGTTTAAATATCATGGGAGACAGTATATACCATCAATATCTATGTGAAGGCAGCTCCTGGGGAGAATAAATGACTCCAGTCCAGTTGTAATCATGAATCCAAGTCTGTTTCAGCTCTTGTTGTTTCCTCCAGTGATTGGAGAGAGGGACAGAGGTAGGGACAGAGACAGAGGCAGAGGCAGAGAGAGACAGAGGCAGAGGCAGAGAGAGACAGAGCCAGAGACAGAGGCAGAGGCAGAGCCAGAGACAGAGACAAAGGCAGAGACTGAGGCAGAGCCAGAGCCAGAGACAGAGACAGAGACAGAGACAGAGAGAGAGAGGCAGAGAGAGAGGCAGAGACAGAGGCAGAGACAGAGGCAGAGACAGAGGCAGAGGCAGAGGCAGAGACAGAGGCAGAGACAGAGGCAGAGAGAGAGAGGCAAAGACAGAGGCAGAGACAGAGACTGAGGCAGAGACTGAGAGAGACAGAGACTGAGGCAGAGAAAGACAGAGGCAGAGGCTGGGGCAGAGACTGGGGCAGAGACAGAAACAGAGAGACTGAGGCAGAGACAGAGAGACAGAGACTGAGAGAGACAGAGACTGAGAGAGACAGAGACTGAGAGAGACAGAGACTGAGAGAGACAGAGACTGAGAGAGACAGAGACTGAGAGAGACAGAGACTGAGGCAGAGACAGAGACAGAGATCGAGGCAGAGAGAGACAGAGAGAGACAGAGACACAGACAGAGACAGAGACAGAAGCCGCCTTGAAGACTCTGGGAACCGTGGTCTTAACAAAGAATTGCTTCAGCAGGACTTAAAATCTTATTTTCCTATGTAACTATGGTCCTTGTTGGGTCTTGGTCTTGGTCTTGGTCTTGGTCCTGGTCCGGTGTGAGGTCCTGGTCCTGGTCCTGGTGGGGTACAGCATGCATTCTAACACGTGCTGATCAGTGGGACCTGATGGAGGCTTCAGTGCTTCGGGACTCGCACTGGAAACACAAAGTTAGAATTGTCACATGGATGAAACACAGAGTTTAAAGGAACAGTATGTTTGTTCGATTATCACTGCCTTCTCTGTGTTTGACTATTTGATTCTCTGATCTGTGTTGGCGAATCGACAACTTTGTAAAGTCCTCCGAGATAACTTCTGTTGTGATTTAAGGCTTTAAAAATAAATTGAATGGAATTGAATTGAATTAAAGGCATTCATCCATTCATAAACTCCCTGGAGATGAACATTCTTACACCAGTGGGTAAAAATGCTTTATTAGTGGATTTAGAGCCACGAAACAAAGTGATGTATGTCGTGGTTCAAATCCAGGTTGACACTAGGCTTTTCTGAGACGAGTTTGCATGTTCTCCCTGTACCTGCGTAGGATAAACGGATGAACAGTGTATATAGGGGGTTATATTCTTTTACATACAGCCCCATGATCACTCTGGATGAACTGCAGATAACTACAGCTGAGGTGGGGATGGTGTGTTTAGGGTGATGAGCTGTGTTGCTTTTACGCCAAACATATCGTTTTTCATTGTGGCCAAAAAGTTCGATTTTGGTTTCATCTGACCAGAGCACCTTCTTCCACATGTTTGGTGTGTCTCCCAGGTGGCTTGTGGCAAACTTTAAACGAGACTTTTTATTGGATATCTTTGAGAAATGGCCACTCTTCCATAAAGGCCAGATTTGTGCAGTGCACGACTGATTGTTGTCCTATGGACAGACTCTCCCACCTCAGCAATAGTTATCTGCAGTTCATCCAGAGTGATCATGGGCCTCTTGGCTGCATCTCTGATCAGTCTTCTCCTTGTTTGAGATGAAAGCTTGGAGGGACGGCCGGGTCTTGGTAGATTTGCAGTGGTCTGATACTCTTTCCATTTCAATATAATTGCTTGCACAGTGCTCCTTGAGATGTTTAAAGCTTGGGAAATCTTTTTGTATCCAAATCCGGCTTTAAACTTCTCCACAACAGTATCTCTGACCTGCCTGGTGTGTTCCTTTGTCTTCATGGTTCTCTCTGCGCTTTAAACAGAACCCTGAGACTATCAAAGAGCAGGTGCATTTATACGGAGACTTGATTACACACAGGTGCATTCTATTTATCATCATCAGTCATTTAGGACAACATTGGATCATTCAAAGATCCTCACTGAACTTCTGGACTGAGTTTGCTGCACTGAAAGTAAAGGGGCCGAATAATATTGCACGCCCCACTTTTCAGTTTTTTATTTGTTAAAAAAGTTTAAATTATCCAATAAATTTCATTCCACTTCACAATTGTGTCCCACTTGTTGTTGATTCATGACAAAAAATTAAAATTTTATATCTTTATGTTTGAAGCCTGAAATGTGGCGAAATGTTGAAAGGTTCAAGGGGGCCGAATACATTCGCAAGGCACTGTATTCATGTCATTCATTCATGTCTGACAAATCAACTATATTTAAAGGAGCAGCATGTCAAAATCTGACCAAAAGTGGTACTGCACTCTCCCTGACTCCCAGATTTGCAGACGAATCCAGCCGGGACCATAATATCTGATAAAAAAAAAAAAAAAACAACAAATCTAAAACCAACACACTTTTTTAAGATAGAAGTCCTCATTTTATCCCTTGTTTTGTCATAAATGATTTGAGACTCATAACAAGACCTTTTTTAGTTTATTTACTTTATCAGTGAGATGAGCTCGACGCTGTGAGTTCTGGCAACGGACTTTCTGATTGGTAAAACGGTGGAGGTCAAGACATCAAAATGAAAAAAAGTATAACTGATTTTGAAATCCAAAATTCTTAGCTGAACTACTGTTATCAGTTGAAGAAGTACTGGAAAAGAGCATGTTTTGTTGATGCCTTTTGAAAGATTCGGGCCATTTAATGATGACTTGACATGAAAATCTTACAAATTGCTACTTTAACAGAAGTTTAGATATTGCTTTCTTGTAGGTTTGGATTCAATCAGAACTGGGCAATATGTCAATAACAAACGTATTAGGGTACAGCATTGGTCTTTGAGCCTGAAGCTTCGTGGGTCTGAGGGAAAAACAGGTCGAACAGGGGATTATGAAAAAGCTGTGTCTGGACCATGCAGGACAAGAGCAGGAGCAAAACAAAACTGAAGAAAACATGTTTTAGTGAAAAGCCAGAGACATCGATCATCATCAATCCTATAAGAGAAGGCCATGCAACAAACACAGATGCATGGTGTGATGAAATACTCCATCCAGCTGAAAATGTGTTTAAAGATGAGTTTAAGACCAGATCAGCCCAACATAGGTTCAAAGGTTCATGCAGGCGTCACCTCTGTCTCCGTTTCTCAGGCTGCTCTCGTCGTCGTCCGCTCCATCGTCCACTGAATCCAACACATTCACAGTCTGTCAGTAACAAAAGCAGTCGCACAATGAAGAAGAGACGAAAGAGAGGTCTTACCCGAGTGCAGCTCTTTGACCAGCGACGACATCGTGTTTGTGATCGAGTCTGCAGCAACTAACAGATCGTTTCGAAGATTTCTAGGTACACCTGAAAACACACAGAGCATTTACTGCTGGGGTTGGAGCTATTTCAAACTCAGATTTTTACAGTGTTTCTCATGATTCGTGTGTTTAGTTTGTGATAGTTACCCTGAGCGAAGGCCTCCAGCACGTCCCCCCCCACCCCGCTGAGGCAGTCCTGGGGAGTGTGTGTGGGGGTGGATCCAGCTGAGGTGGAGCGGATCGGCATCGGCATCGAACACCCAGCCCCGTGTCCCGGAGAGGAGTGAGGGGAGCCGCCACACTGAGACTGAGGGGACAGAGAGAGAGGAGTGAGAGAGGAGTGGGAGAGGAGAGAGAGAGCCCCCACAATGAGCCTGGAGAGAGAGAGAGAGAGAGAGAGGAGAGAGCGAGAGACCCCACAATGAGACTGGAGAAAGAGAGAAAGAGAGGAGTGAGAGAGGAAAGCCTCCACCAAGGTCCTGGTCCGGTTTTGCGGCGTTTGCTGAAACAGTTGTATGCACATTACCATGGCAACACACTGTTTAATCCCAAAATGATGAATGTGACACAAACAGCTAAAGTTGACGTTTAAATGGAAGTCAATAGAAGCCAGATAGAGATGGAGCAAAACTTTGTCCATGAGCCCTTCCCTCTTGTGCTTCATTGAGCATTGGGTTAGCAGCATTGTAAATTTCCCCAGTGTGAGATCAATAAAGTCTATCTCATCTTATCTTATCGTCCGTCTGTATACAGTCTGTGTTAGCATTGTCCATCTGTATACAGTCTGTGTTAGCATTGTCCATCTGTATACAGTCTGTGTTAGGCAACTAACACTTTTAGGCAACTTTTGTTAAAGTTAAACTCATCATTCTATCAATGTGCAGAAGCCAGTACTTTTCCCTTGTTGTGTCTATCTGAAGGCCAAGCTACAAGCACACCGTGGCAGCTGCTGATTGGAGGTCTCCATGCCTCCGCTCTGTATAATACACTTGCATTCTGTTGTTCGTGTTGTTCGTGCTGTCTCTACCATCGACAATAAAACATGTCTTCTGTCTGAATTTATGACACGATCCCAGACTTTGTCATCTTCTTCAGGTGGTGGAAGGATGCGGGCCTTGTCTGTAACATCTAGAGAACAGAAGACTACTTTTTTTTTACACAAAAAAGTGTTTTTTTTTAAGCCAAAACTGAGAAACCTCAAGAGAATGCATCCGGATCAGCACTTGGACAATCTGCACAGCCCCTGATTCCAGTCAGGCTGTGAGCTGCTGAGACATGGACAACACCAGCGTCCTCTTTTGCATGGACACCATTTGGAAAAATTGGATTACACAATTTGGACATAATTTGGACTGAATTGAATTGCTGAATCTGGACACTGAAGCTGAAACGTGTGATTGAAAGACACGTCACAGAAGAATTCATGGCTCGACACAAATGCAGCCTGAAGAAATCAACAGGAGAAGTGGGAGAGACTGTTTTCAAAGCAATGTCTGGAACCACCATCGACTGATGAAGTTTGGTATTTTACTGAAGATTGTTGACAAGTTTTATGAAAGATCTGAACATGTTTTATGAGTTTTATGAGTTTTTGAAGTATTCCGAGTTCTGAGTTTTTTGAAGTACCGAGTTTAAGTATTGAGTTATGATGTTATGTTGCTGTTTATCGATCCTGATGGTCACACGTGAATGTATGACCAGAGGGGGGAATGTGAGATTTCATAACACTTTTAGGCAACTTTTGTTAAAGTTAAACTCATCATTCTATCAATGTGCAGAAGCCAGTACTTTTCCCTTGTTGTGTCTATCTGAAGGCCAAGCTACAAGCACACCGTGGCTAAATCTGGTGCAGCCATCTTTTAATGTAACTGCACATTGTCCTTAAATTGTACTGTAAACTCTAAACTCTAAACTTTTGACAATTGTTTCTTGTTTTTTTTTAACCTTGTTTTATTGATGTATTTTCCGGTGCACATGTATTCCAATGTGGTTTTACTGCAAATGACAAATAAACGGCTTCTCGATCTGGAGGAGGACCGGGTTAGTGTTACTCTAGAAGCTTGTTTTTTCTGCAAATTTGGGCCAAAGTCTGTGTGTGTGTCTGTGTGTGTGTCTGTGAGTGTGATTGTGTGTGGGTGTGTCTGTGTGCCAAGAAGCAGATGGAGGAGCAGGCTGCAGTCACGAGGCCAGGGCTGACATTTAGGAGAAAATCCCACTTTTTGGAACAAGACGCTGGAAAGAGGAAAGTATTTTGAGTCCAGGAAGTGTTGGAGAGATGGACAAGATACGACATAGAAACTGTTATTTTTGTCAATGCTGTTACTGTGTGCCTTTGTGAGACTTGGAGAGAAAAAAATGCCGCTGGATTTTTTTTTTTATGTTATAGAACTGGGCGACCAAATGTCCGAGATACACAAACCATAGAACTGTGTAAAATAAGTAAAACAAAAATCAATGTTAAATGTAGCTTGCTCTCAAAACAGTTGCATCAAACACTCTTTAGATCGGCTTTTTCAGATAGAAAAGTATGTAAAAGATTTATCTGTCCAATCTCCGTTTTACAGTCTCAGTCCTGGATCTACAGCCTCAGTCCTGACTCTACAGCTTCAGTCCTGGGTCCACAGCCTCAGTCCTGGATCCACAGCCTCAGTCCTGGATCCACAGCCTCAGTCCTGGATCCACAGCCTCAGTCCTGGATCCACAGCCTCAGTCCTGGATCTACAGCCTCAGTTCTGGATCTACAGCCTCAGTCCTAGGTCTACAGCCTCAGTCCTGGATCTACAGCCTCAGTCCTGGATCTACGGCCTCAGTCCTGGATCTACAGCCTCAGTCCTGGATCTACAGCCTCAGTCCTGGATCTACAGCCTCAGTCCTGGATCTACAGCCTCAGTCCTGGGAACTGCTTGATTCTCTGTTGTTGAGATGAGGACAGAATGTTATGATCTGATTTGTTCACAAAATGTTATTATTACAAGACTCTCTATGGGACAAACGACTACTATTTATGAAAAGGAAAAGTTAGGAACCCCAGCTTTAACCATACACAAACAAAGACACAGAGCACTGGAAACATGTGCAGTTTGTGACGAGGTGAATGAGTCTCTCTGAGTTAATGCTGAGACTGAAGGGAATGATGCACACTCACTGTTTGTTTCTGCTCCTCGTCCTGTCGGCATGGAGGGAGAGGAGAGAGAAGAGAGAGAGGAGAGAGAAAGAGAGACATATAAGAGAGAGAAGAGAGAAGATATAAGAGAGAGGAGAGAGCAAGAGAGATAAATATAAGAGAGAGAAGAGGGAGAGGAGAGACAGAGATATATGAGGGAGGTGGGAGAGAGAGGACAGAGAATAGAAAGAGGAGATAGAGAGGAGAGAGAAAGGGAGATAGATATAAGAGAGACACATGTATGAGAGACAGGAGAGAGAGAGGAGAGAGAAAGAGAGATAAGAGAGGAAGATATAAGAGACAGGAGAGAGAGAGGAGAGAGAAAGAGAGATAAGAGAGGAAGATATAAGAGAGAGAAGATAAAAAATGAGATAGAGAGGAGAGAGAAGAGAAAGGAGATAGAGATATATAAGAGAGAAAGAAGAGAGAGAGAGAAATATATAAGAGAGAGAGAGAGAGAGAGAGAATCAGAAGCAGAAGTTACAGAATCTGTGAGCTCCAAGTTAACACACAATTTACTACACACATCAGACAAGGACAAGAAAACACAAGCTGTTGTTGTGATACTGTGCGTCAGTGGTCTCTAATCTGTGGTTTGGGAACTACCAGTAGCTCACTCTCTATCAGGTAGCTCCCAAAGGATTCAAGAATTTAACACGTGATCCAGAATGATTCACTTTTGAGTCATATCTGTTTGAACTATAAATGTTTTCATGAACGCAGGGATACTGTGCAGTACAATGGAATATTATGTATGTGTGTTCTCCAGGATGGGCTGTAGTTATTCTATAATACACACATCAAAAATATGAAATAGAGAGAGACCAGTTAAAGACCAGAGGGAGAGGCCAGAGGGAGAGACCAGAGGGAGAGACCAGAGGGAGAGGCCAGAGGGAGAGGCCAGAGGGAGAGACCAGAGGGAGAGACCAGAGGGAGAGGCCAGAGGGAGAGACCAGAGGGAGAGGCCAGATGGAGAGGCCAGATGGAGAGACCAGAGGGAGAGACCAGAGGGAGAGACCAGAGGGAGAGGCCAGAGGGAGAGACCAGAGGGAGAGGCCAGAGGGAGAGACCAGAGGGAGAGACCAGAGGGAGAGGCCAGAGGGAGAGACCAGAGGGAGAGGCCAGAGGGAGAGACCAGAGGGAGAGGCCAGAGGGAGAGACCAGAGAGAGACCAGAGGGAGACTAGAGAGAGACACCAGAGAGAGACCAGACAGAGAGACCAGACAGAGACCAGAGAGAGATCAGAGAGAGACCAGAGAGAGAGCAGAGGGAGATCAGAGAGAGACCAGAGAGAGACCAGACAGAGAGACCAGACAGAGACCAGACAGAGACCAGACAGAGACCAGACAGAGAGACCAGACAGAGACCAGAGAGACAGACCAGAGAGAGACCAGAGAGAGACCAGAGGGAGACTAGAGAGAGACACCAGAGAGAGACCAGACAGAGAGACCAGAGAGAGACCAGAGAGAGACCAGAGAGAGAGCAGAGGGAGATCAGAGAGAGACCAGAGAGAGACCAGACAGAGAGACCAGACAGAGACCAGAGAGACAGACCAGAGAGAGACCAGAGAGAGACCAGAGAGAGACCAGAGAGAGAGAGACACCAGAGAGAGAGCAGAGGAAGACTAGAGATAGACCAGAGGGAGACCAGAGAGAGAGACACCAGAGGGAGACTAGAGAGAGACCAGAGAGAGACAGAGGGAGAACTATACACATAAATTGAATTGAATGTTCAGGTTCAGGGGTCAGAGTTCAGGTCCCTGTCAGATTGTACCTTGAGCAGCCGCATCAGTCCCTCCAGCTGCACCATGAGCTCCCGTCTGCTCTCCTGCAGCGCTGACATACGCCGCTCCAACTCATCCTTCCTGTGTCTGAAAACACAACACACACTTATTTATTTATCTCTTTTTTATTCAATCTGCTACCCCTGGACAGTTGTCTCATTGCTGACCTCTAGTGGCCACAATATTATCTTAAATAAACCTAACCCAGCTTTCAAACAAAAAAATAGTTCTGTGCTTTCAAAACAGTTTGGCGCGATCACTAGTTTCCACATGCCCTCCGTCATGTCCTTTTTGAAGTTGAACAGAATTTAACTGTTCAAACAAAAGCAGAGCGAATGGGAGTTAGGGAGCATCCATCTTTGCAACATATATTTGAGGAGATTGTTATTAGAGAGGCAAAGAAATCACCTCAGGAAAAGTTACCTCAACAGGTATAAGAACTCGTTCCTCCCGATATCTGTGAACCTCCTGAATGCAGATGTTGTGTTTTATGTCTATCTTATGTGTATGTTGGATGTAGCAGCCTGTAAGTCCAAGACACATTTTCTATGGGACATAATACATTGATCTGGAATCTTGAACATCTTTAAATCACCTTTTGTAATAATAATAACAAAAAAATAGAGTATTGATTCTGGGGCGACAGTAGCTCAGTTGGTAGAGCATTGGCCTTTGGGCCTGAAGGTCGCGGGTTCAAGCCCACCATAAGACCTACTTCACGACTCCCACTGATGACTGCTGTCGTTGTGTCCTTGGGCAAGACACTTAACCCCACTTTGCCTGAAGCTCCCACTGAAAGATCTCAGCTTCTGTGGACTCACCACCTGCAGGAGGATCAGTGAGGGGCTGGTGCTCTGTGACTGGGTGCAGCTCTGACTGCCACCCCCCCGACCCAGAAATGGATTAAGGGGAAGAAAATGGATGGATGGATAGAGTATTGATTTTACATAGCTCTTTTCAGGACTCTCAAAGATGCTTCACATGTTTTTATTTGTTCACTTCAAACACTGTGGTGATAAACCATTACTGAGGCACACTGACAGAAGCAAGGCAACCAGTCACCACCACCGACCATTCACACACACACCAGACTCATTCTAATGTGGGTGAAGTGTCTTGCATCAGGACACAACCACAGTTTGGCCCTTTACAGCACTTCACACAGTTCTGAGGCCAGAGCAGGTGCAGCTGAGCGCAAAGACAGATGCAGACGCTAATTATACCACGAAAAACGAGCTCCACAAACTGCAGACAGCAGAAGTCTGGTACCTTCAGAAAGTACAAGTATATAAGATTGTTCCAGCTCCAACCTGCAAAAGTGACGCGTCCTGAGGAACTCGTCGTCTTTTCATTCCCTTTTAGATCTAATTTCTGAACAAATATGTATATGTGTATAAACAAGAAATAGCTGCTTTCTACAGTCCCAAGTCCCTTAACCTGCCCCCTCATATCTCACACCTCCTCCATTAGCACTGTCCCTCCCACCGCCTCAGGGCGACATGTGGCTGTGTGGATAGAGCTCTCGCTTCTCAGCAAGAAAGTCCTGGGTTTGAATCTCGGTTAGGACCTTTCTGAGTGGAGTTTGCATGTTCTCCCTGTCTCTGTACAACTTGCTCCCATCTCTGTGTGGAGTGAGGGACATATGCCCATGACAATTGTAAAGGGCTTTGGTCTGGTCTCTATATAACTAAAGATTGGATCTGAACCCTGAGGACCGAGCCAACGATACCTGAGCAGCCGCAGTTCTGTGAGCAGCGTGGGGTTCTGCTGGGCCTTCTCTGGGGTCGGTTGTGAGGCCTGTTCATGCTCCAGGCGCAACCTCTGGATCTCCTGCAGGATCTCCCTATACACACACACACACACACACACACACACACACACAAACACACAGTAAGTATGAGGTTTATAACAGGGGTGATGTGTTCTCAAAATCAACCTGTGATAAATGTAAATTCGCTCAGTAGCGGCTGTTTGTTTTAACTCTGTAAAACCCTCACAGACAGAGACCAGACAAAGAGACCAAAGAGAGCGACCAGAGAAAAGAGACCAGAGAGAGTTTATCCTGAGTGTAAATAAAGGTAACAGTTATACTAGCGATTATCATGTTAATGGAGTAATATACACGTGAGAAGCGATATATAGTGAGGGACCAGTGAATGTGAAAGAGTTTAGAGTGTTGTTAGTCTCTGATTCTTTGACGGTTAATGGCTCTGACCTGTTCTTGTTCTCCAGCTCCGCGATCAACTGTCTCTGCTGTTTGTTTGCATCAAAGTTGAAGCCGAGGTCAGAGGGAGGACACTGCTGCTGCAACACAACAACCACAACAACAACTGTTCAAGGACTGAGGGCAAGAACAGCAATATTCAGTTATACAAATGGGAATTATAATATTGTTCTGGTTCACTTAATTGTGAAAAAGGACTTGTATGAGAGAGACTAGAGAGAGCAAACAGTGAGATATCAGAGAGAGACTAGAGAGAGACTAAAGAGAGACTAGAGAGAGACCAGAGAGCGACCAGACCAGAGAGAGACCAGAGAGAGACCAGAGAGAGACCAGAGAGAGACTAGAGAGAGACCAGAGAGAGTTGAGAATGATCCTTTACTCTCTGATTTGAATGTGTCTTCATCTTTTGCAGTAATTTATGTGTGTGCATAGCAAGACTCACTGTGGAGTTGCCTGCTTCGGCCGCTAACCTGGCGGCGTATCGGGCAATCAGCCGGTGCTCCTCGTCCAATCGACTCGGACTCTCCAGGACACTGAGGAGACAAGACAAGATTCACATCAATATGGATCTACAGCCTCAGTCCTGGATCTAAAGGATCTACAGCCTCAGTCCTGGATCTAAAGGATCTACAGCCTCAGTCCTGGAGCTAAAGGATCTACAGCCTCAGTCCTGGATCTACACCCTCAGTCATCTTGACTGCTCCCATTCACCAGAGACCAGAGAGAGACCAGAGAGAGACCAGAGAGAGACCCGAGAGAGACCAGAGAGAGACCAGAGAGAGACCAGAGAGAGACCAGAGAGAGACCAGAGAGAGACCAGAGAGAGACCAGAGAGAGAGACCAGAAATAATAGGATATTGACAAATACATTACAATAAACTACTAGAAATAGACATCAATTGTACTATTTAAAGCAATTAACAAATTGCTACCAAGTAACATACAACAATATTTTATTCTTAAAGAAAAAACATATAATCTAAGAGGTCTTGGAAACTTCCAACTTGCAAAATTCCGATCGACTTCTGTGTGACTGTATGTGGTGTGAAATTGTGGAATGCTCTGGATCTCCAAACAAAACAATGCCAAGACATTCACAGATTTAAGTCACTATACAGTATAATACAATGTTTGGTCTGACTATAGAGAGAATATGCCTTGAATATATTTCCATTTTGCCATGTCCTCTTCTTGTATGTTTTTAAGTTTGTAGTTGCCCCTGTTTGTTTCATTACCATTGCTGCATGTCCTTACCATGTTGGTATTCACTGTCTTTTACCATTGCTGGTATTTCCCTCATGCAGTTGTTTTGCATCCTTGTAATATGTATCTTGTTTGTATAAGTCCTTAAACCCATTCATTGCTACTTTAAAACCTGAACAGTTTATTTAAATGTGCCATTTGCTTTGTTTTTGTACTGGAGCAAATAGAAAGCTCAATGAGTAATGTTTTTTTTTTGTCTTTAAGGCACCAGGGGTGGGATTAAATAAGTTTTCTTCTTCCCACTCCTTTTCGAGTATCTGCAAGTGTTTCTTTTGTGTATATAATATTTATAATTTTGTATTATGTAAATGTAGCTCAGGGTTATTTATGCACAATTTTGATATTCTATTTTTGTTTCTTGTACACTTATTTGCTCGAAATAAACAAACATTGATTGATTGATTGAGATACAGAATAGAGACCAAAGAGTAATTAGATTTGTGAAACAAAAAGTCGTCAATTTGACTGCTCTGGGAGACAGTTCTCGAGTTAAAAGTGATCATGAGATATTTCCCTGCAGGGTTTCCTTGGGGTCATGGTTGAGCGGAAGTTATGAATTGTTCGGTTTTTGCCCTTGGATTGAGCTCAGAGCTGAAGACACAGAGAGAGGAGAGGGGAGAGAGAGGAGAGAGAGAAGGACGCGTCAGCAAAGTGCCTCTCTGGGACTCTGAAGTGTTACATAATGTGACAAATGAACATTTAAAAGTGAAATATCATGCATTATTTGTTTGTGTTGAGCATGATCTAAAATAGAGCTGGGTCTTGGATCTACAGCCTCAGTCCTGGATCTACAGCCTCAGTCCTGGATCTACAGCCTCAGTCCTGGATCTACAGCCTCAGTCCTGGGTCTACAGCCTCAGTCCTGGATCTATAGCCTCAGTCCTGATCTACAGCCTCAGTCCTGATCTACAGCCTCAGTCCTGGATCTACAGCCTCAGTCCTGGATCTATAGCCCCAGTCCTGGGTCTACAGCCTCAGTCCTGGATCTATAGCCTCAGTCCTGGGTCTACAGCCTCAGTCCTGGATCTATAGCCTCAGTCCTGGGTCTACAGCCTCAGTCCTGGGTCTACAGCCTCAGTCCTGGGTCTACAGCCTCAGTCCTGGATCTACAGCTGGACTGGTTCTGGGCAGTATTCTAAATATATTTTTCTGGTGCATTCCCCAACACAATATACAGAATTAAATCTTTATAACAAGATTCTGAACTGGACATTTGTCGCCTTTAAGTATTATTTGCATTTTTCCTCCATGCACAAACTTGGTCTTTCATCTTCCGTGACTCATTCTGATTCTGAATTTGAGGCTTTGAAGTTTCTATTCTCGGGTTTTGGTTCAGTGACATCGGTGAGACGCAGGAGTGACGCACAGCTCAAAATGTCAGCGCAAGGTCAAAGACAGAAACACACACACACATAAGACTGTTCTACTGTCGCACAATAACTCAACTCCATTCTGGCACCTCACACACAGCACAGTTAAAGCTGAGGGACCTAACTTTCAAACCACAACAACAGAACTATGGAAAAAAAACATGTGTCTAGCTCCTCGCTCTCAAGTCATTTGCTTCTATCTCTTTTCGGCCTCAGTCACAGATACATTTTTTTTTCTTTCCCATGGAAAAGTGCAAAAGAGAGGAGCACCCTCACTCAGCCAGATCCTGTCAGACCTCAGAAGCTAAGCAGGGCAGGGCCAGGTTAGTACAGCGATGTGAGACCTCTGGGAGACACTTCACCCACATTAGAATGAGTCTGGTGTGTGTGTGAATGGTTGGTGATGATGGGAGGGGTCGATGGCACAGACTAGTTGCCTCGCTTCTGTCAGTGTGCCCAGGGCAGCTGTAGCTACAGTAGTTTATCACCACCATGTATAGAGTAAATGAAAAAAGCCAGAAAAGCTCTAAATAAATTTGATGCATCATTATTACTATTGTTGTCGACAGACGTGTACACTATGCAATCTAAGATGAGTAACTTAGAAAGCATATTGTGTGTACTTAGTGTACTTGTATATAGTAGTAGTTTTAAGATCTTTTGTTTCATACTTAATCACTCTTAATCTCTTTCCTAGATTGTGACTTCCTGTTATTTCCAAAGGCAGTAAAAAATATTCTGATTACAATTGGAATGGTATTAAATGGCAGAAAATGTGTTATCGCAGGTAAACATTTCACATCTGATATTTCTGACATTTCCAATAAAACTGCAAGTTTCTTCTGTTATTAAAACGAGGAAACTTTAAAGAAGCTTCGTGTGGCATTTGATGAAGATCCCAGAGCTAAAGATTCAGTCTCTGACATTTACACAAGATTAGAGCAGTTTGCAGAGAAACTCCAGACTCCCCCTGCTGGTGAGGAGGTAAACTACAGGCTCACATGAGAGACCAGGCTTAAAATGGGTGGAGTTCAGGCCGTTTGTTGTAACTATTGAAAATCCATCTTGAGCGACTCTGGTCTTTAGGTTTGATCTCTGAAACACGTTCAGCCCAATCACATTGTCTGGTCCTACTGGTTCTGCGCTGTGAACAAGCTCCCATGATGCTTTGCGCCAAATACGTGTATGTGGCTCTCATGCACGTGCACAGAGGGTCTCGTCGCATTCTGACCAATCAGCGTCTACTGATCAGAGCGTAGCTAGAGCGAAGCTAGAGCGGGAGCTAAACAAGCAGTGTTTGTTGCACCGTGTAAATAAAAAAGTGTGGATTTATGCTGAAGGATTTAACAAGAAAAAAGTTCAGGACGACAAGGGACACAAAAAAACCCACAGAATCCTTCTTTATGAAAGTTGTAGGTTCTCTGTCAGCTGAGGTTGAGCTGGTTTAGTTTACATTGAGATCTATGGGAGATTTTTCTGGGTAACGTGAATTTAGTCTGCAGTACCACGGGCACCCCCTGGGTCCATTGGTGGGACAGCTATAAGCTAGTAATACCCTATCCAGATATTATTATAGATTCATAGGGTAGACATTTTGCTAAGACTGCAAGCTGGAATTTACCCCTCAAATGAAGGTATCTGATTGGTTAACCCAGGGGTATCCAAACTTTCTAGCAAGAGGGCCACTTTAGTTCATCAGACTTGACCTCGGGCCGACAACCTGGATTTAAAAAACTGGATTTGAGCTGGATTTATTGGATTATGGAATCACAGCTGCATTTTATTTGGAATGTTGTGACAATAAAGTCAACGACTGGATTCCAGTGGGTCTGAGACTTACAACAAGGTATAGCATGACTGTATTGGCGGAGCTGAAGTTGGTTGGATGACACTGTCAAAGTGCCTCAATGGCGATTATGTGTAAGCAGCAGAAGGGCCATATTAAATGGCACAGAGGGCCGCAATTAGCCCACGGGCCTGAGTTTGGACATGCCTGGGTTAACCCTATGGCTCATATCTGTTTTCACAAAGACAATGTCAAAGCAGAAACAGTCTCTATGTTCAAGGCCAGGCTTAAAGCAGTTCTCTTCAGCATATGGTTAGGAAGGTAAGACTCAGAGAAGACTTAAAACATAAAAACACAGATTGTCAGTGACTTATGGAGCCCCCCCCCCCCCCCGCTCTGGTAACAGCACTATCCTCTTTATCTGTCTACTTTATCTGTCATCATTATGAAGCTCTAGTCTGTTCATTACTATTCACCCCCTGTCCCATAGTCTATTTCTGTTTCTGCTTCTTTTGAGTTGTTGATTATTGATCCAGGAGGGTTTAGGTCCAGTGATGATCTGGGACATTTGTCAACATTATTATGCTAAAGTAAATACCGTATACTTCATTCTTGCTTCTTCTTCTTATAAGTTAAATCAGTCTGCTATGTGTTTGTTATCATTTAATTTCCTGCGTTTGAACTGTTTGATTTTCTGATTTTTGCTGAAGGAAAGATAACTTTGTAAAGACGGCTGCTGTTGTGATTTAAGGAGATACACAAATAAATTGAATTGGAGCGTGTGATACTGTTATACATAATGTTATAAACACGTAGTGACAGGAGTTCTGCCATAACACACAGTGATGTGAATTTGTTTTAGACTCACTCTTAGATCACAGCCGCAGAACTGACGCCTCCTCAGTCCCAAACACAACATGCTAAAGTTACACACATACAGTACGTAATGACCCACCGATGTTGTGTGTTTTGCTACAGGGAAATGTCTCACTCTGCACCAGTTCTATCAGGATCTGTTTGTGAAATCAGCTTTTATCTCTTTCTCAGCCGGCAACAGCTTTTTCCTAAAAATAAACTGGCAAAATGTGTGTCATGTGTGGATCTGCTGCAAATC